TTAATCGCCTCATATTTGCCATGGTGTGGGGGGTCTGTGATAAAACCAACCAACCTGGACGACGTGGAGCCTCCTAGCCAGTGGCGTAGCTGTGGGTGGGCCGAGGTGGGCCTGGGCCCACCCACATGCACGTCTGGCCCACCCACAGCGCTGCATAGCGCAGAGCCGGGAAGCCCAGAAGGAAGTGCCACAAACTGCAGTTCATCTAGTGGCCGACAGGGGATGGATGCAAAAAGGAGCAATTCCCATCGACCCCCATGTTAAAATGCCCAACTTTAGAGCAGAAATAAACATGTTTCTAGCCTGGATCCAATCAAACTTATTCTGGATATAGTTAGATTCCACCTTCATGACAATGGAATAGGGAGTGCATTTTTTTACCGTGAGTTTTTATAGTAAGTAAAGTAACTTTTGCCGTGAGTGAATGAAATAATGAATGAATGTTATTTCTTCTTGAGGTCTGCAGTTTAGCGTGTACACATTTGCTGAATATGAAAACACTCAGTGTGTGCCCACTGTGCGACTGTCAAGGATAAACAACCTGTGGCCCCCGATATATGTCGTATGTATTATTGCTACACAAACATTACATTGCAGTTTAAGTGTCGCCAACTCCGTTTCTAATATGCAAAAAGACAGCAAAATGCGTCTGATTATTTTTAGTATTTTAGATCTTTCCAATCCAGACAAGAGAGATCTCTCTCCCCCGTCTGTGTGCGAGGGGGCGGGGCAGTTTACACACACGCAGCTGCTACATGCAGCAACACACACACACTGCAGAGATGGCGGAGAGAACGCGCTCCGAGGTGTGGTTAAACTATAGCCGTGTCGATGTGGACAATACTCGTTACCAAAAGTGGAATAAGAGTTTAGCATGTAAGGGCGGTAACACAAGCAATTTGTCAAAACATCTTGCCACCACATTCAGACGGAGAAATGCACCGGGTTCCACTGTCTTTCTAGTAGCGCTGTAGCCCCATCCACGAGTAACGTTTCCACGTCAGGTGTTATGTATGCTAGCAGCAACACACGGAGTTTACTACATTATACAAACATGAGTTAATGATTAGAGGTAACTGAGTTATTTATTTTGTTAAAGTTTCAGCTATTCTGTTTACAATTCTGTCATCAGATTATTTAATACGATTTGTTAAAACATTGTTGTTTCTTTTGATGTGAAATATTATGTATTTAATTTAAATAAAAAGCAATGTTAGTTTTGTTCACAATTTGTTTAGTTAGTTTACCTTATTTTTTTCTCCAAAAGAACCGATAAGAGTACTGTTAAAGGACCGGATCGATAAGCGCTATCGATAAAAGTAGTAGTACCGTTAAAACCTTAACGATACCCATCCCTATGTGGATGTCAGTTTTACACACATTCTGAGGCCGCCGTGCCTATGTTTTTTGTTTTCACTGCTAATTTATGCTTATGTTCTATTAGTGCATTAAAAAATCATTAATGAAGTTTCAGCTCAGACCCCACGCTTAATATGTATCCCCCTGGCCCACCTACATTTCTCCAGGCCCACCCACACAATAATTCCTGGCTACGCCACTGGTCACAACACCTCACAAGTCCTGAACTTTTTAACCAGTCTTTTTAAAAAAGGTCTTGTCCTCACAGAGTTTTTATAATGCTTTTAAAAGGGTTTTTATAAGGTCTTAGTATAGGGCTATGTTTATGGAGTTTTTTAATGTTTTTTTAAACGCCTATTTACCGAGAGCCAGTGCACCACACTCCCTACCTTTTTACCTAATCCTAATCTTCCTTCCTCCCTCCCAAAACCTCTCCTACTGTAATACATTGAAATCAATGTTGATATGACGTAATTTAAATTAAATACAGGGTTTTAATTTAAAGCAGTTTTATTCTGAAAAAAACGGAAGTTCACACTAACTATTAATTTAACACTTTTATTCTGAACATTCTTCATTTCCGGTTAGCATTAGCATGTGGCTAACGTTTTGAAAACCGTGAATTGAATGTGAAATGACATGTGATGTTGCACACTAAACACACTGGGATTAACACTCATTTATTGACGCTGAAATAACGTTTATCAGGGAATATTTAAATAACCACAGACATCAGAATTATATTAATAATATAAGATATAATATGTTACTTTTGTGACTGGGTAAGTAGCCTACCTATGGTAAGTACACAACACGGGAGTCGCGACGTCACGTGCCTCAAAGGTTGAGCTCCCGCCCACGTTGAGCTCATTGAGGCATTGCGCACTGCATTGAGGGGTACTACCTTGGTCGCCCGCAGGGGCAACGTGAGTCGCCCGCGGGGCATGTTCTAAAAATAGCTCACCACACCAAGCAAATCCAAAATGTAAAAAATACACACAAAGAAAAGGAAATGTAATTAAAATAATCTACCCTATGCATAAACGAAACCTCAATCATAGCAAACTCTATTCTTTCACACACAGTGACGTCACGAGCTACCCACAATGCAACGCGCGCCATATATATATAAATACGCCATTTTTCTGGAGGTGCAAAAATCCTGGAGGTGCTAATATAAACAGCTAGCTAACGTATCCAGGCAGAGCGCACTAGGTTTTTTTTCTGAATTAACGACCGAAGAAATCGCTGCATGTCTTCGGATTACATCTCTGGACTTGAGGGGTGTGCTCTAGGTCGTTACCAGCGTAAACTAGAGCTGTGTGGGTTGTCGGATTGCCCTTACAGACTGCCTGCAGATGTATGTAAAAACGATCCTCGAAAGTGGCCTTCGGTCGATTTTGGCAGCATCTACGTCTATCTTCTGGAAACACCAGGTGAATACCCCACTTGTCACAATAATATTATCATGCCAATGCATATATGTGGTATTTTAGAGTTGACTATATTGATTAAGGCAATAGACTATGATATTCTGCTTGCACCTCGTGTGAAATGGCGGATACCGGAAGTACGGTGTCGCCCTCGGCCCAAAACCCGTGTGTGTGAAAGAATCTACTTACTACAACTCTATATCTATCTAACACCTCTCCTCCCCCCACCCCCACAATGAATATCGACCAATCACGTTCTTGCTTGATTTCAGTCGGGAAGAAAAGCAATGTGGAGCGGCCAGTCTATGGGAGCGGCACCTCACCGCTTCATAAGTGTGACCGTGATTTTCCTTCTAGCAGAATCTACACAACACATCAGCCCCATTGAACACAGCCTTGTCATGCCAGCCTATACAACACATGAGTGTGTTGTGTGTGTTGCAACTTGCATATATATGTATTGCACTTGACGGACACACACATGCATGGCGTAATTTCCACTGGGGACATGTCCCCCCCCACTTTTCGAAATCCCGTTTGTGTCCCCCCACTTTCCAAATATGTTTATTATTTTTAACGCAAGCCGTCATCGCCACGGAGGAGCACACAGCCTCTGAGAGAGAGCACACCTTTATCTATTTAATATAGATAAAGTAAGAAATCATTCTAATGTGTACTATAGGACAGTACAAAAAAAACAAACAGTTTAAAGGGGGAGTGATTAGTAAAATATGCATAAATAGAAAGAAAGAATGCTAACTAGGTAACATAACATAAGAATAAACAAGTTGAAATGATTTGTTATTGGTTGTGATCATATTCTAATGATTTTTGGATTATTGAAAAGTATAAATCTCCCTTTCATCTGAGTGTTGAGAGCTGTATCCATAAATTCATTTTGTGCTCAAAGTGCACCAGATTGACACATTTAACTTCTACATTAAAAAAAAAAAAAATCTTCCCGGGGTTGTATGCCCCCGGACCCCCCTAGAGGAGGTGAGGTCCACCCCCAAATAAAGCAGGTTCAAATTGTTAAATTGCATACATTTTCTTTTAGTAAATACTGAAAACGGGTCCCACAGACCCAAACATCACACAAGGGTTAAAGGTAAGCATATAATAAAGTTAAAATGTGCTAATATATACACTGCAAAAAACAAAAAAATGTCACAGGAGTTTCTCTATTTCTGGTCACTGAGTTGATATAGTCATTAGTTATAGGTAGTTATTTGTAGTCAATTTAAAGACTGTGTTGCTGTTCTAAGGTCCCACTTCAGTGTTTACATGCTTATTTATACAATATGTGTGCTTATGCTAACATCATAAGACAAAAGTTGGTTCCGTGTTGTGTGTAGGGAGAACGCGCTAGAGTGAGGGGGGCCCCCAAGCCCAAAAGGCTAGGGAGGAGGGGCTCTGTAAGGAAGTCTGAAGGAAGGGGCAGATTTGTTTCGGCTGCGTACTTTCCAATTCTAGCACACTTGAGCTGGTTTCTCCATTCGTACCTACCCTACCTTTAAGTAAATATACGTAATGTAAAAAACAAAGACTACGACACCACTGTTGTATCACGAATGTTAAGGCCGCTACACACCAACCGGAGACCAAAAAACGCGTACCGAAGGCGTCCCGACTTTTAGGTCCGCTACGTGGCCTGCGTCGGCTACCCCGCCCACCTACGAACACACCGCAAAGACTTCAGTCGACGAGTGGCAACTCGTCGCCTTACCAGCAGGCAGCGGTAGTGTGTATTCGTCATTCAAAAGAGGCAACAGCCAATCAGAGTGATTTCTTTGGCCGACTTTCTTTGGCCGATTCAACATGTTGAATCAGCCGCAGGAGGTGTGAAAATGTGCCGTAAAGCAACGATGGTGCAGGACACACCAACCTGAGTAGGGCGCCACGAATGCCCGACTGCCTCTGACTCCCAAAATCGGGTTGTTGTGTCAGGGCCTTTACTCGTAAATTGGAATACATTTTTCTTTTTAAATATTTTGTGTATGCGCTTTATCTAATAGGGCTTTATATTTTGTCTATCTTCACTTTTGGTGTTACAATATAAATGTTCCCTATGTGGGATGGATGAAGGAATTCTGATTCCGAATTTCTTGTACAACACAAAGTGTAGTTATCAGAGTTCAATGATCATTTCATGTGTTCATCCAACTGAAGAGTCAGGAGTTTAAAGGGAACCACGAAAGGAGTCAAAACCCAACCAGCAAAACAATTTTATTTACTCATTTTAATGGTTTAAAAAAATATTTCTTTGCGCAAAGACAACAACAGGTCCCCGTCCGCTGAGGAAACAAGGGACCAAAACAATGATGACCACCAATTGATGAAAGGTGTAGCAAGATAAGATGAGGTAAATGTTTTGAGGAAAGAAAACAAAAAAGGCACAATTTACAATCAACCATGCCTCAGATTCACAATAATGATAATAATATTAATAATAATAATAATAATAACAACAACAATAATAATATATAAGTACAGCTAAAAAAAAATCTGAAAATCTTAAACAACAAAAAATACAGACCAATTCTATAATACAAGGCAGGTCCTGCCGTCAGGCTCCCCGGTCCTGTACACTGAGCCTGACCTGCTGAAGCTGCAGCACCCTATCTGACCACCAGGCACGACACGCACAGTTTGGAGGGCCCGATGCAGTCGTCATGGCAGAAGGCACCGCAGCCCTGGCACATGATCATGGCTTTGAGGCGGCACGAGCACTTGAGCGCCACCTCCTCTGCAGTACTGTCAGTGTAGGCCTGGATGCTGAGGGTGGTCTGACGGGGGCGCAGCTGCAGAACTCCGTCCGCCATGCTGCGCGAGAATCCGCTGTCCATCACTGAAACATTGGCTGTGTAGCTGACTCCTCCACCGTGTTTGGGGAGCTTCCCATAGAGCTGAAAGGGAAGGGTGGAGGCAGTAGAGGAGGGGGAGGAGGAGGAGGAAGAGGAAGAGGGAGAGCCAGAGGAGTAGCTAGCCTTGCTGTGCTCTTTCTTTGCCATCCTTGCTAAAGTCATCTCCATGTTGAGGAGTCCCTCCATCGCTCCCCCGCTCAGGTAGCCGTCCATGGAGCTCCCGGGCTCTTTTTTGGTAACACTCATGGGTTTGATGGGGGAGGATTTGGAAAGAGCCTGACAAGCAGGCCGTGCACCCACTTCATTCTTTATGGTGGAAGCAGGAGACTGAGACTGCGGGGGCCGCCAGTTAATCTTAATGGTAGGCAACACCTCTGTGGGACATGGGTCTGCATGGGGAGGAGAGGGGCCATTGGGTGTGGTTCTGTGGGCTTGCTGGGGCCTGTCTGGAGTGACCCCCTGTGAAGGCTGACGGCCATGAGAGTCTTTTATAACCACAGACTCCCCAGCAGTCTCAGGGTCTGACTTACTCCTGGAGGACAAAGAGCTGGAGGATGAGGAGGGGGGCAGAGAGGTGATGACCGCGACAGCCCCGGGTGCTTGCGGAGCCTGGTACTGCCCTGCTGGTGTCTCTATCAGACAGGAGACTGGACGACCTGTAGGAGACTTGTTGTGGATCTGATAGGCTGCGTTCAGTTCAGGGCTAGAAGACTGGACTGAGCCCTCAGGCCTGTGGCTAAGCCCTGGGGTCCGTGACCCTGGTGGTGGGGGTTGGGGTCCTGGCAGTCGGCTGATCTCCAGCCTGTTGGCAGAGTGTGAGGGTAAAACCTTCTCCAGGGGCAGACTGCCCTGCAGGAGCTGAGTAACAAGAGGATTGTTGGCCTCCACACTGGAAACTGCTCTAGCTGAGCTGGCCATCCTCCTGGAGGCAGCTGCAGCTGAGGGCTTCACAACTTCCCGACACTCCTCTCCAGACTCAAGTTTGATCACAACGCCATCTTCTAACCCCTGCTGATGGGCTGTGGGGAGAGACTGGTAGTCCTGGGAGCGGGGGCTGCTGTGCTTAGGGTGAGGCAGGCCGTTGGGGAAGCACGGCTGGATGACAGTCTGACCTTGGCGGTTGGACACGTGGGCCTGGATGACCGGCTGATGGTTCTTTGGGGGAGGGCTGTAGATGACCAGCTGGCTGTTTCTCTGGATGCTCAGTGGGGGGGCCCCAGTCCCCGTCAGGCTGCTGCTCATCCTCCTGAAGGTCATTCTCACAGTCTGAGGCCGTTTCTGTGGAGTCACTATGCGTCCCAGCCTCGTACTCTTTCTCTCCACCAGAGGAATGAGCTTCTGTATGCCTCCTCCCTGCGGAGGCAGAGAACACATCCTGGTGCTCCACATGGTGGGAACCATGCTGGATTACACCGCCCAGTCCAGACTCCTTCACCTGTACCAGATCTTTGGCCCGAGAAGAGCTGGCCAGCGTCTGTATAACATCCACACCTTGAGCTCCAAACCTAGGAAGGGAATCCGGGATGGAGGTTGGGGTCAGTGGAGGTTTTATGGAACCATGTTCAGCCATCTCTGAGATGGCTGCAGGAGACTCCATCGCCTTAGGCTTTGGAGAGGCGGAGTCAGGTGCCTTGTTTTCAGGACTGTTGGAGGAATTCTGGACATTAGTTGATGTTGCTTCTACTTCCTCTCCAGTTTTCTGGCCCTCCAGCTGCATCCTCTGGAGGAGAGCTTGGGGTCTGTGGGGCCTCCGAACACAAAGAGGTTGAGGTAGTGGACAGGGAAGGGGAGGACTGGGGCTCTACATTGTGAAGCTGTAGTTGTGTTCCTGACGTATTAGAGCCTGAAGACGATCCCTGCTCCTCCACCCCACCACCTCCCCTTCTTCCACTACTACTACTTCCTCCTCCTCCTCCTCCTCCTCCTCCTCTTCCTCCTCTTCCTCCTCCTCCTCCTCCTCCTCCTCCTCCTCCTCCTCCTCCTCCTCCTCCTCCTCCTCTTCCTCCTCCTCCTCCTCCTCTTCCTCCCCCCCCTCCTCCTCCTCCGGGCTCGATAGGTCCTGGATGCTCTCTCGCTCGTCGTCCATTGCTGCAATCCGGTAGCCCAGCAGCAGGCCGCAGCCGGACCCCCGGCCCTGCCCCGTCGCTAGAGGCTGCAACAGCAGCAGCGGCCTCCCGCTGGGCCCGGGCTTGCTGGGCGCGGGCTTTGATGTCCGCAAGGGTCCGCGCACCGCCCGTCCCCGACCGCCGCGAGCCCTCGCCGGGGGGCACGATGCGGGGGCAGATCTGGTAGGTTGGGTGACCTTTGACCCAGGGGGGTTTGATTCTGGAGAGTTGAATCTGGGACAGAAACACAAGGACAGTTAGTCAAACGTTCGCAGGTAAATGCTTATTGATGAACAGGCAGTTTACTTTGGTGCACAAAGTCTTACCCGGATAGGTGGCACCTTGGGCTCTTCGGTTGTCTGCTGCGGCTTCTCCGTACGGACACCGTCAATTGTGGTACGAAAGGACTGACGGTCCTCAATCCGCGGCCTTTTTTCGGGGAAGCTGGAGAAGGCCTGAGCCTCATCGGGCCTTCTCTTCTGTTCCTTGAGCTGAGCGCTGGGTGCAGGGGTGGGGGCTGGGCTGGCTGATGGGCTGCTCTCACGGCTGCTGGTGGCCGTCCCCCCTGTGATGGAGGTGACAACGGAGGCAGTGTCATCCAGAGGATCGGCGGCGACTGCAGCACTGGAGGATGCTGAGGAGGAGGAGGAGGAAGAGTCCAGGCCTGTGGCGAAGGCTCCCTGTGTTTCAGAAGGTGAAGAGGGAGAGGAGACAGGCGAAGAGGCTGAAGACGAAGAAGAGGAGGAGGAGGAGGAGGAAGGTGAGGAGGTAGAAGCCAGTATAGGCGCATTCTCCTCTGGGAGCAGGCGGGACGCAGCCTCAGGCTCCTCGTTTGCACTGGTGGAGGCTGGGCTGGGAGTAGGGGTGGGAGTGGGAGTGGAGGCTGACAATATGACTGGCTCTGGAGTGGGGGGGGTCTTTGTCTCTATGGAGGGACTCTCAGCAGAGAGCTCCACACCGCACTCAGCCTGCAGCACCACCTCTCCTTGAATGACCGTGTTGTCGGACATGGGAGAGCCAATAGAATCTGCTGGGAGGTCCAGTTCAGGGCTGGGCTCAGCGGCTTCTGCAGACTGCAGGGCTGGGGGAGGGGCCTTGCAGAGGGTCCGACGGGCCCTCCGACGCAGGTCAGCTCGTGTGCGTCTCCTCATCCTGCCATCTCTCCTTCGCCGACCCACGCTGCGTCTCTTGGGGGCCCCAGCTGCCACCACAGCCACGTCAGTGTCCAGCACGCCGGCTGCAGCTTCACTGGCTTCACTCATGGTGAGCTTCAGGGACTCCTCTTGTGTCAGGCCAGACCTACAGGAACACAAACAATGTTTCAGCGCATTGTGGTAAACAATGTCGTCTAAACTATATGGAGGAAGGCAAGGAGATGGAAATAAACAATATAATACAAGCAAATAAATGTCAAATATAAAAGGCTATACAGGCTTCTAGTCAGGCTTAAATAATACTTACAATACCAATATATTAACCTTAAAGGAACCACTCTAAATATGACATAAGAAAGAATATGGCTGCTGTGTGAACATTGATTTTAGACTCAAATGAAATGGGATGGTTCTTACTTTTGCCCGTGGTACTCTTCAAAAAACTTTTCCTTCCAAGCCTCTACTTTCTTCTCTTTCTCCATTTCCTGTCGGAAACGCACTTGCATCTCGTGGGTGAACTCACCTAAATGTGTCAAACACATATAAAGGTTTAAAAAGTAGCTTCACAACTGACCTTTTTGAAGGATAGTTTTGTTCTAAATCTAATAAGCTGCCCATCACTTGTAAATAAGCAGCTGGTGTTAGTAATGTTTCAAGGCAGTGTCACCATCAGAAGCAGAAAGACAGGATCTTCTCTGAATCAGGTCCCTGACAGACTGATTCACCAACATGCAGAAGTGGTTGTTATTTGTGTCCTTCTGCACCCATGGCCTCCTTCTCATTCACACACGTAAAGAATGCTTCGGCGCAGTGTTGCCTTTTGGTGGGAATTGTTCTGCTGGCATGTATGACTTTACCCTTTCTTTATAACAACCTTTTGGTTATGTGGTACGAGTAAAATATGGCATATTGACTAATACACTTACCCTCCGCCAGCCTTTCTTTCCAGCTCTGGGAGGCATGGGTGAAGAACTCATTGTTGAGAGCTGAGCTACTCAGTCGGGCCATACCATCTGGTCCAATCTTCAAGAGAGAACACAATGTAAAAATATCAGTAAAGGAATAATGCACCTGAGAAGTAGAGGGGCCTAGGCTTAAAGGCTAGTACATACTGTTCATTCTGCATACCGCTGCGTAGGCCTGTCACGATAATTAATTTAGTTGGACGATACATTTTCCCGGAAATTATTGCGATAAACGATAATATTGTCGGCACCGTTGCGAGACCATTGTAGACCACTGACATAATGATAATATATAATAATAATTAAAGTACATCCTTTCAAACAGAACTTTGTATTGAACATTCAACATTGCAAATGAAATGTGAAATAGTATTCAAATATATAAATGATATATAAATAAAACAAATACATTAAATTATAACAAATTAATTAAAATCACACACAACCAAAAACAATAAATTAAATAGACCATCTATCAATCAATAAATAAATATATAAATATAAATAAATAAATAAATATATATAAATAAATAAATATAAATATATATAAATAAATGAATATCATATCATATCCAATTCTGTATTTCAAAGATTTCGAGCAAGGAACACCAACATGTTTGCATTGTCGGGCAAATGCATCTTTGATTGTAAACTGTCGGGTGGGGGCTCTCCATCTCCAGCTGCCGTATTTGCTCCCAGCTGGGAACACGGAATGGGGTGGTTGTGTGTTTCAGGTGAAGTTTAAGGTTGGTCGTATTGCTAGCTTTTGTTGCTACCTTTTTAAAACTCCCTCCTCTGTTGCTCTCCCTGAGGTTTCTCCCATGTTCCCTTTAAACTGTGGGTTTTCTCTGGAAGTTTTTTCTTGTACGATGTGAGGGTCTAAGGATAGAGGGTCTAAGGATAGAGGATGTCGTTTTTCTCATACTGATATTCTGAACAATCTGTGCTGTTGTATTTGCTGTAAAGTGTCTCTACTGTAGGCTATTTTTATTATATGTACAGCACTTTGGCTCGACCAAAAATCGTTTATAAATGTGCTATATAAATAAAACTTGATTTGATTTGAAAACAAATGTGACACATGACAAATGTGACACAAATGTGACTCATTCAAGTCCGTAGGTTCGCCTCGTTGATTTGGCTTGAATCCAAAATACTGCCACACCGGAGATGGAGTTAGGTTTTTGCAACCAATTCCATTTAACTTCAAATTCCCCTCGAGTAAGTCACACGTTGTCTCCTGCTATGGTGTTATATTTGTGCCTCTATCTTGAGCACGCAATGAAATGAAAATGCGATTGAGCGCACACTTGAACATTTTTGAGCACAGAGAAATATATTTTCTCTCATAAAACTCCTGCTCCGAGCGCAAGCGTTCTTATTATACATCCATGGCGCAAGCAGACCGCTGCACACACTCCCTCTCCCTCGCTCGCTCGACCTCTCCAGCCTGTGCGCGCTCAGCTTTGCCTGCGCTCGCTCAAGTTGTCACAGCGTTACAAATGTGCCACAAAACCAACCAATCGGAGAACTCGAGAAGGTCAATTCTGATTGGCTGGTCGTCTCCAATCATATCTTCTATCTGAGATGAGAGAGGGATTTTCGGTTGCCATCAGGCTGTTGACGTTCTTATTACACATCCGTCGTTGACATTTACAGGACATTTAGACTCGAATGAAGAGAATAGCAAGCCACAGTGTCAGGTGAGTTATACCTTTCTAGTTTTCTGATATCATGTTATTGTTTGCAATGCCTGAGTTTGCTAGCCGGCAAAATAGCTATAGGGGTAGTTTAAGAAAACCGCTAACAAACCGTAGCCTACATGTACATGAACCCTTCTGAGGTATTGATTACTTGCTGTAAGCATTAGAGGTGGCAGAATGACAAAACATGTTTCTCTCTATCACAATTTTGGGTTGACCAGAACCTGTACCAACTTCTGTTTGCTGTTCTACAATGGGCATAGAGCTTGCGTTAATTTTCAACCGGACAACTAAACAGATTAGGCTAGAATACCGGATAAAGTTAGCAACACACGTTATCCATGAACAGCCTATTAATCCAACGTTGTGGAATTAGAGAAAAGGGGCTTCTTAACGTGCTTTTATCCGGGGTGGAGGGAGTTACATATTAGTTAAAAATAACATTGGGGCGTGTGATTGTAGTGGGTGGAGGTGGTGATATGAGGATATCCATTTTGGAGTTCAAGCTAATATAATATAGTTAACTTTACACAATAATAAGGAAGAGAGCTATTTTTGTGATACATCGCTATTGATATGGATTTATAGTAGGGCTGAACGATATACCGTGTCATGGCGATAACCGCGATATGCGCATGCGCGATATTCACACCGCAGGGACGTGCGGTTTTATTCATTTAAAAAAAAAATGCTGACGCACTTTAGCACAGAATTCAAAATAAAGATATCCTTATTACTTATCGAAACTGCACATACAATATATCCGATTAAAGCTGAGACTCCACAGATTATTTAAGTATAGTACTCAGGATAGAGGCACAAATATAACGCCATATCCTGCTTGTCTCTATATTATTCATTTGGCTGCTACACTGTTGCACGCGGAGTGTCCTGACCTGGCTGTGTGTGAGCCCCGCCCCTCACAGCGTGCCTGGCTGGCAGCCACAGCGCGCCTGGCTAAAATGCTGGTCATATTCTTATGTAAACAAACACGCATGTAAACGGCAATTTATCGACGTCAGAAAAGTTATAGAGTCCATTTTTATTTATCGTACGATAAGTTAATTAATTGCTTATCGCGACAGGCCTACCGCTGTGGTCACAACTATTTGAACGGTTGCATTTATACTACAACTGACAGTCTGCATCCGGCTGAAACAATCATTCAACCATCAAACAACCATTGAGTTTGTTCATAGTGTTTGTTCCAAAGCAGCTACAGGTCCATACCATACCAACTGGACTGGATAGAATGAAGCGGGAGCATTTGCATCAAAGGAGCAAAGGTGATCAAAGTATGAATTTGTCTTAACATGCATCAAATTGACCCAAAAAATGACAAAACAGTGTACGCATGAGGTCATCCTCACTATATTAAAGAAGATAAAAAAAAAGCATACCTGTCTTTCCACCTCAGGCAGCAGCTGCAGCAGCTGCTGCTGCGAGTGTACTGGGAAGGCTGCGAAGGTACGCACATTGATAAGGGCTCTGATGTTGGTGTTGACCAGGATTGAGCCTGGTGTTTCAAAATCTACATCCACCCCTCCCCGACTCCTCTTCATGGGACCTGCCACAGCAAGAAAAAAACCCATACATTTACTTGCAGCTAAAGCTATCTGCAGGTACCTACAGCTGAGCACCACAGACACTCAAACATTTTCCTTGCTTATCAATTACCTTTATATAGTAGGTGAGAACACTCAATAACACCCCTTTCATCGTTTTGAAAATGTGCTTTTCATCTACTCAGTATTCTTTCTGCCATTTGTGTTTATTAATTATGGTGACTATTGCTGCTTTCTCTAGAGATGCTTATTCAAACATCTTCACATAGACACAGACACTGCACTAACTTGGGGCCTGAGCAAAACACCCACCAGTCAAGTGGATAAACAGTTGTCAAGAAACCTGACAACTCCGTATATTTCAGTAAAGGTCTAACCCATCAGCATTTTGAATGTTTGCTTTCATTGTAGATGTGTTGCAGATAACTTTGTTCTCTGTTGAAAAAGGTCTTCTTACCTGAGGGAACATGCTCTCCATTCACTTTAAGAGGAGTGAGGACAACGCGAGGCATCATGACTGCTTTCTTCCTCTGCCTCCCTGACTGTAGCAACACAAACAGTGGTATGGAAAGGTTGTAACAGTAGACGGTTATGAAGTCAGTATGTGAAGCAGCACTGTATTCCTGCCCCTCTACAGACCACTCAAAATCACATGGGACACTTGTTCATGAATTAAGAAACAGTACACTAAATCACAGTAGAACTGCTCTTTATTCCTTGACTGTTGCCACTTTAGTCAAAATAGAGCAGCCAGTGTGTACACGCGTGGTGCTGACCTGTCTTGAGCGGCTTAGCCTGGTCTGGGTGTGTGGAGCATGTTGGGCCTGCTGTGTGTCTATGCGTGCTTGCTGTCCTGCCGCCCTGCTGAGGCGGGTCTGGGGTTGGGAGCTGACAGCCAGCACTTCTGTGGAGCAGGAGGCGCTGGACGAGCTCTCATCCACAGAGGCTGCAGGTCAGAAGAAAACAAACACATTTCAACTCAACATATACTGCAGTTATAATGAATATGTTATGTTATTTTAAGCAAGAGAGTTCATAAAAAAGGATTTTCCATCTGAGCTAAAGCTGCTTTTCTGGTGTTTTTGCTAAGTGGCAAACGAAAAAAATGTAACCAACACGAAAGTGTTATAAATCACAGGCCATATTTTGGCTTCTACCAAGAAGATACAGTGGAGGAAATAGGCAGGGCCTATGGGGATCTTCCATTTAAAGTGATGTTTAAAACTCAGTTAATGGGGCTCATTCACTGGCGCTTCCACAAACAACAACCAACAACCAACATAATTATTACATTCAAATGATGTACATTATTCAAGTTTACATTAACTTTGGATAATAACACGGGAGAAATTAAGCAGAAGCGCTCTCTTTCCCTCTCTCTCTCTCTCCTGACAGCCTGTCAGTATCTCATGCAGCTCACTGATCCAGTAACGAGTGACCCGACAGTGAAGAATAAATATATTTATAACTAGTTTAGCTTCTTCCAGAGGTAGATCAAATAGCTAAGTTTGTTAGGTCTAACTCTTGTGTGTGTTGCTCTGCTCACCGGTTTTGGCGAGCTTGTTTTGCCACGCACAGAGAAAAGTGTCATGTATTTTACGTCATGTGATCGGCTCTCCCGATCGGCCTTTATAGAGAGCACTGATCGATCGGCAGAGAGTGAATATCGGCCATCGATCGGGGCATCCCTAATTGTAATGGTAGGTTTATTTGACTAATGAGATACAGAATATCAAAAAGAAAATCCTCCGTCAGTCGGAGGGTCATGCCGAGTGAGATCGCTATCCCTTTAAGAGAGAGAGGCAGTGGCGGCTGGTGGAAAATATTTTAGGTGGGGCTGTGGAAATGGTCACCAAACAATACTAGGGGGTCCGGGGGGATGCTCAAAAAATTGAGAAATTACCCCTTAAATTATGACTTCTGGTGATGTTCGATCGATATACTTATCGGATATGCACAAACAAGCTTATGCTACCAAGCTGAGATTCCACAGATTCTAGAAATATAAGTATCATCACTGAGCGATCAGAACTCGCGACAGGAGAAGCAAATACAGACATCACACAACGTAGCTTTAGGTAGCAAAACACGGACATATGCTCACCTTTTGCTGTTATTCTGACCAAAAGTTGTGTTAAATGGCATTAAAACGTGAAAAACGTGGCTGAAGGTTAATCCAATGTGTCTGTCACTTTGAAAAAATTATTGAAGATCCATAATTCAATTCAGTCAAAAACTGAGTTTTCATATTAGCTGCTAATTATAGCTTCCAGAGTGTATGACAGCTCCCTGTTTTGTCTCCTTGGATACGAGTCAAAACAACTCACAGACTGCCTTGGGCCGGGCGCTGAAATTGTGGCTCTTGGACCATCAGATCTGACGACGCTGATTGGCTGAAATTATGTTTCGGCGGCATAGTACTTTTCAGGTAGCAACAGTCAGCACTTGGTTGGCTGTTGCTGCACTTAGGGCTCTTTTCTTAGAGCCCAGGCGAGAGAGGGCAAAGATTTCTGCGGCCAGGCAGGAAACACATGACTTATCAGTAACTTTAGACATCGTAACACAATTTTAAACGAGATTTTATTGTAGATTATAAATGTTTCTGATACCAACTATATAATATGTACCTTGTTTATTAAAAAATAAAAAATATATTTTTTTATTTTATTTTTAATGACAATCTAAAATGAGGGAAGGGGGGGCGGTGGGGGGGGTGCCCCTAGCGCCCCTATGGGCCGGCCGCCACTGGAGAGAGGGGTGTAGCACGTGCATGTGTGTGTGTGCATGGTCGAGCGAGCGAGTGTATGTTTTTGAAGTGAAACGAAGCAGCAGAAAAATCAACAGTCTCACCCTGATAGTCCAATAGCAACGCTTGGTCAGGGTCCTTTGGCGTGCAGTTGTGACATATTATATACAGTTTTTAATGAACGATTAGAGAATAACGAGTAATGAATATGCTTTATAGGGATCTGCAGATACATTTTTTGTCTTTTAAAGCACCCACTATCAAATATCTTGCCTGATTGTTGGCACTTGACAATCACCTTCACTGAATTTTACTCAGGTGCAACTAAAGTCTGATTTAAGCATGGGAGCCTGCCTGCAGACCTCCACTCTCAGGACAGTTCCGGTGCAGACCTCCAGTCTCAGGACACCTCCACTGTCAGTACAGGAAGTGACGATTCTGACGCGTTTTTTTCCCGCCCACCGAAGGACTCGTTTGATGGAAGTTTTCAAATCACAATGGAGACTCATCACGGAGGTGATGAGTCCGCCCACCGTGCACTTTGGGTCGGCCTTGGTCAAGCCCTTTTGACCCCCCCCAGCCTGGTTCTCGTAAAAGTTTTTCGCTCAAAAGACACCATGGAGGAATGTAACGGGAGTTGACAGGGGACTCTGCCCGCCTCACGAGTGCCTATTTTCGGACGCTTTTTTTCACTTTTCCCCGGTTTTATTATTTTTTTGGCTATTTCACCCGGTTTCTACTGGGGACATTGCCCGGTCTCGGGTGTCCCCCCCATGGCCTTCCCCCACTCTGCGTGTCTCTTCCTTCCCGAGCCGGCCGATATGAAGCGTGACCAAGACGCACCGTCCAGGGGTCCCACGGGTCCCGCAGCGGGGTGGAGGTTCCCAGCTGGAACCTCCACACCTCCGCCGCGGTGCACCCGGCAAACACGGTTGTTTCTCGAACCTTCCACTGTTGTCTAGCGGGTGTAACTAAAATACAAGATGTCGTATTTATATATATATAAATAAATATATATATATATCTCTATATATATCTATGATATAGAAAAAATATATCTATGATATATATAGATAATAAGTGTCAGTACGATTTTATTTTGTATTTGCGTGCATTTCCTGTTTGGAAAGTGGCACTTTACTGATAGTGGTGATTTTATTTTGGAATTCTTAGCGTGCACTTCCTGTCCTGAGAGTGGAGGTGTCCTGAGAGTGGAGGTCTGCACCGGAACTGTCCTGAGAGTGGAGGTCTGCAGGCAGACCCCTCTCGATTTAAGGGTTGTTTATATTTCACATCATTAAAGGTGGGGTAGGTAAGTTTCAGAAACCGGCTCGAGATACACTTTTTGTTATATTCCATGGAATGCTCTTAACATCCCGATAGCAATTAATATCTTAAGTGCTTTGACAAAAAATCCATAATGAAATGTCATCTGTGGAAGCCGTAGTACGTTTAGCCGGGCCGGCTAAACGGATTGGATTGCTGCCCTGTCTGTCAGCCTTCCATCTTGTGCACGCACAAATGTATCTCGTGCCCTCATTGGGCGTGCCGTCATTGGGCGTGCATTGCGCGTTCATGTGTGTTGGAGGAGGTGCTCTGTAAGGAAGTCTGAAGGAAGGGGCGGATTATTTTCAGCTGTGTACTTTCAAATTTTACTGCACTCGAGCCGGTTTCTGAAACTTACCTACCCCACCTTTAATCCAAGGTTGCGGTCGAATAGTCCGTTTTGCTTAGGAACCTTCCTAACGGAGTGAAATGACCCGGAAGTACCTCAGTGGCAGCCATGATAAGAGCCGTTCCAATTCTCTAGAGCAGCGGTTTTCAAAGTGTGAGGCGCGCCTCCCTGGGGGGCACCAGAGAGCTTCAGGGGAGGCGCAGCGTGAGAAACAAATAACGAGAAAAAGACGAGTAAAGTGTCACTTGCACACTTTTGGCTGTCTGTGGAGACCGAGTTCCCCCACCTCGCCAAAAAGGCTGTATAAGTGCTCATTCCCTCCACCTACCTGTGTGAATGCGGGTTTTCTGGGTTTATTCCTGTCTACATTGCATCCCCGCATCATCCGCCTGTGCGCATCAAAGACGCAGACTCATTGTTCCCACTAAAGTAAGGGTGAGTGTAATAAGGAGGCAAAGTTGTCGTTCAGTGTGTTGCCAGGAGCAAGGATTTATCCACGATGTTAAAAATGTTTTTAAAAAATATGTAAAGCATAAAGATAAAAAGGTTTAAAAAAGTTATTGTTTAATGTTTTAAGGAGGTGACGCTACTCAGCCAATCAAATCGGTGCAGTCAGTGAGTCAGCACAATAGATTCAAACACACACACAGAGAGACGAGACAAGAAGAAAGAAACAGCAGTGAGCAATTCCAAATGACGTGCTCAAAAAAGAGAAAGCTAGACAGCGAAAACAGGGCATTTAATGACATTTTCTCTTACTGGACCTCTTTGAAATGCAATTGAATACCCCTGCATTATAGCAACAATAATAATAGCAATAATAATTGGGAGGGGGGGGGCGCGGCTGTTCTTATGTTCTCTGAGGGGAGGCTCACCTTCCCACACTTTGAAAACCCCTGCTCTAGATGAAAGGAAAGGAGGTTTGAAACTTCCTTTATAACCTCCTTTAGCTTAGGAACCACTGGACCTCCCTTTACGAAAGGAGAGGAGAAAATGCTGCCCCACAATGCATTGCAGCCGCAGCATTTGCCGTTAATGAATTATTATTGTATTGCTGATCTACACAACTAACCTATTTTGAATTCAAGATGGCACATTTCGCCAAAAGGTGAAAAGTTTGCATCCATGATCAGGAGGGCAGAAAGTCTACATACTTCTGTTGCAGACTGAAAAGCTGCATGCAATACAAGTGTATTATTAAAGAACAAAAACATTTACTTGCAGGATTGTTTTTGTTTGAACATGTCTCCTCATGGTTGATTGCACTTATTGTAAGTCACTTAGATGAAAGCGTCAGCTAAATGTGATGTAATGTAACACACAGGTCATTGGAATACCGCAAAATATGAGGCTCAAAGTGAGCATGGTAGGCTATGTCTTTTAACATGCCTTCAATTTATAATGCTCCTAACACTAGGACGGGTCAAATGCATAATGTAAATGTCCCCTCTGTGGGATGATTAAGAGTATATAAAATAAAAAATGAAATTAAAATAAGTGTTTTAAGTCATGGATTGGCAAAACTACCCCACAGTAATGGAGAGGCCTCTGATGTCTGTAATGCGAGGTGTGTGGTGTAGTGTTACCGTCATTGTCTCCACTTGCGGCAGCAGTGGTCTCGGTGGAGTCGCAGCTCTCCTGCCCAGTGGCCTCATTGGGGCCGACTGTGGCCGCTGTACCTGCTGCAGAGGTGCTGGAAGCTGGGGCCGTGCTGCTGGCTGGATCAGTTGGCTCCGACTCTGATGTTGTCTTTGTCCACTGGAGGGCGTTCTTCTACAGAGTGTGAAGAAAAACTGCATTTTCTCAGAAGATTGTATCCTTCAAGTCATTTGTGAGGTCATGCATCATGTGTGACACTCATCCCAAAACAGAAATAGATTACCTAACGGGTCCAACTGTGTTTATCTGTATCATTTTTAATAGTATCATCAGGGTGGGGAGGGTTACTATATATATACAATGTATAAATGACTAGTAACCTGTAAATAAAAATGAAATGAGTCTGAGTATCACAATATGAATGTAATGTAACTGGATTAATTTCCGTTACTTTTGGATGACCTCAACATCAATTTTAATATATGAAGTGTCCACCTACTGCATTAAAAAAATCTATTTAAATAAAGAATGAAAGAGCGAAAATAAAAAGCAAATCCAGGCAGTAAGTCTACCTTTAATATGTCCATCTTTATGAATACATTGTAATCCTACGGTATTATTTATTACATTTGTTTTCAGATGTCATTTTGAAGATACCAATTATGAACAGTAATGTGTATTTACATGAAGAAATGCAGGCAGCAGTAGAGAAGCATTCAACGTGAAGAGGATGGTGTATGTGTACCTTTAGGGTGAACAGGCTCATCCGTCCCGGCAGCTTGAAGAAGATGCTGTTCTTCACTCGGTCTCCCCTCACCTGGGAGTGCAGCATAGTGACCAGACAGGCCAAAGGTGCTGTACCACTACACACAAACACACACATTCAGATAAGAAAACCTGCAATGCTACCAAGTGCTTGTCAGAAAGCTTTCCATAATAGCCATGTCCTTCATGAACAAAGTTACAGAAAGCTGAGTTTGGACGATATGATGCGCGGATACGACAAAACAAATAAGGGATGCCCCCATTGCACATTTCTCAGCCGACGTTCAGATTAACAATTTGACCGATGCCAACACCATTGATGATGTTTCTCTGTCTATATTGTTGTTATGTATTCTTCTTTTGAGCCACGGAAATATACATTTTGATTATTAAAAAACGTTGAATAAGCACATTTTCAATTAAACAAATGTATGAAACTACGTTTAACAGAAGATTCCTTCAAAAGACAGGTTTTTGTACACAAATACATTTGATACAAGCCTCTTTAGTCTGCTGGTTGTGTTGGATTTCCTTGTTGTTTGTCATAATCATTTATTACCTATCTTTTTTCCTTTAAAAAGGTAAGACATATTTCATAACATGAAATCGTAATTTATGAATTTGAATAAATATACAGAACACACTTATTGATTGTGCATATAAGGGCACGGAGAATAAACATGAACAGAGACTGAGGTTAGCGTGACTAAACAGACGACTTCTCTGGCCGTTTCAATTTCCCTCTGACAGCTGAACCTACAGCGCTCTGCTGCAACACTTCAGGAACTCTTATGAGGATGGGAAACATTTTTCTCAGAGAAATGATCACTTGGTAAAACTATGGGATGGGATAACATTTGCCGCTCCTAAAACGTGCTTCTCGATGAGGAAATGATGCAGCATGCGCTCCTCCTGCAGCAGCAGCTTCTTCTCACAAAGACCACATGCTCTGTTAATTACTTAGTTAAGAGGAAAGTTACGGTAAATAACCCTCAGGCGGTGTTCTTAACCATCCAAATGACCAACAATGCCAATTTCTGACCGATGCAAACCCACTGTGCCAAGCATAGACCTCAGAGAACATGAAAGGGTATGAAAAACAGACAACGAGTGTAAGTAATAAAGGTCCTCCAACATACCTCCTGTCAGCAGCAGGCCAAGTGATCCATAGATAGATTGATTGATAGATCCATGTCAAAGGAAATAAAAACATCTGTTATAACCACACTGATTGAAATGACATGTTTAATTGGTGTTCAATTGAATTATCCACATTGGAATGAATGCTGGGCATTTTTACACTACAATTGAAAAAGGTATAGCTCCACCACACAAGAGTCCTTACATAGGTTACTGCATTCAGGTTCAATAGAACAGCTTTTATTATAAACAGTTGTTACTTTTATAACAGTAATAGCTGACACCTATACAGAAGTAAGAGTGTGTGTGTGTGTGTGTGTGTTTCTGTCTGACCGCATTTCCTTCAGCCCCTTGGTCTGGATGACGTGGAGGATTTGTTTGGGAGTCATGGGTGCATCAGAGAAGTTCTCCAAAACCTGCAAAACATCCACGCAATTTTTACCACACAGAAAACAATTCCATCTGCACCGTAGGAGATCATATATACACTCAAACACAAGTTACTCTGCAGAGGGAGGTTCCACAGTTTGAATATTAAATACAATATTTGAAATGTGTATTCCATGCGAGTGACAGGAAAGCCTTTTTTCATCTTTCATTGCCATCCGTTTGAATGCCAATCCAACATTTATAAAAACCGGATAGGGGTAAAGCATTATATCATCTACAATGATTTATCTGTAATAAGTTCATATTAGCTGATATCAACCCTCGTGATGTTTCACTTAGCATGTTAGGAATGCCAGGAAATGTCATGTTTAAAGTTTTTCTTTTGTATACAGCAGATACAGAAGAGCAATCCCATTAAAGCATCACACAGTTGTACGTTTATATGCTGGTGTAACTTTCGAATAGAACTGTAATGTACTTTCTCAGAGAACACCCAGCTTAACACCAGCTTAAATGAAAAACACATGTTGTTGCATTGTGTCCCTGTCTGGGTTCATCCTGCACAGCGGTTCTGTAAAAAGTCAGCCAAACCAGTGTTTCCCACAGATCTGAAATATACTTGGGGGGGTGGTGGTAGCGGAGGTTGAGGTGACGTGCCTTTGTGACATGCAACAACATTAACATGAACCTTTCTGTTGGTCGCTTGTTAGCAGACCCTTCACGCGATGGCAGAGCGAACAGGTACAGGGAGGGCCCATAGTGATAGCTCTCTAGTTTAAATCTACTACGCACAAATAAACATATGGACATGGGTTGCTATTTAAAAAAAATTGTTAATGTATTTAGGAACCTATCCATGTAATTTTAAGTGGGGGTGGACCTCAAATCCTCTAGTGCCCCTTTCACACCAACGCATTTTCAGCTCCGGCTCGGAGCTGGAGCCTGACCACATCATGTAGACAGCCAGTCCCCCTGTGTGAGGCAGACCACATCATGTAGACAGCCAGTCACCCTGTGTGAGGCAGACCACATCATGTAGACAGCCAGTCCCCCTGTGTGAGGCAGACCACATCATGTAGACAGCCAGTCACCCTGTGTGAGGCAGACCACATCATGTGGACAGCCAGTCCCCCTGTGAGGCAGACCACATCATGTAGACAGCCAGTCACCCTGTGTGAGGCAGACCACATCATGTAGACAGCCAGTCCCCCTGTGAGGCAGACCACATCATGTAGACAGCCAGTCACCCTGTGTGAGGCAGACCACATCATGTAGACAGCCAGTCACCCTGTGAGGCAGACCACATCATGTAGACAGCCAGTCTCCCTGTGTGAGACAGACCACATCATGTAGACAGCCAGTCACCCTGTGTGAGGCAGACCACATCATGTAGACAGCCAGTCACCCTGTGAGGCAGACCACATCATGTAGACAGCCAGTCACCCTGTGTGAGGCAGACCACATCATGTAGACAGCCAGTCCCCCTGTGTGAGGCAGACCACATCATGTAGACAGCCAGTCCCCCTGTGTGAGGCAGACCACATCATGTAGACAGCCAGTCACCCTGTGTGAGGCAGACCACATCATGTAGACAGCCAGTCCCCCTGTGTGAGGCAGACCACATCATGTAGACAGCCAGTCACCCTGTGTGAGGCAGACCACATCATGTGGACAGCCAGTCCCCCTGTGAGGCAGACCACATCATGTAGACAGCCAGTCACCCTGTGTGAGGCAGACCACATCATGTAGACAGCCAGTCACCCTGTGAGGCAGACCACATCATGTAGACAGCCAGTCTCCCTGTGTGAGACAGACCACATCATGTAGACAGCCAGTCACCCTGTGTGAGGCAGACCACATCATGTAGACAGCCAGTCACCCTGTGAGGCAGACCACATCATGTAGACAGCCAGTCACCCTGTGTGAGGCAGACCACATCATGTAGACAGCCAGTCCCCCTGTGAGGCAGACCACATCATGTAGACAGCCAGTCACCCTGTGAGGCAGACCACATCATGTAGACAGCCAGTCACCCTGTGTGAGGCAGACCACATCATGTAGACAGCCAGTCACCCTGTGAGGCAGACCACATCATGTAGACAGCCAGTCACCCTGTGAGGCAGACCACATCATGTAGACAGCCAGTCACCCTGTGTGAGGCAGACCACATCATGGAGACAGCCAGTCACCCTGTGAGAGGCAGACCACATCATGGAGACAGCCAGTCACCCTGTGAGAGGCAGACCACATCATGGAGACAGCCAGTCACCCTGTGAGGCAGACCACATCATGTAGACAGCCAGTCACCCTGTGAGGCAGACCACATCATGTAGACAGCCAGTCACCCTGTGAGGCAGACCACATCATGTAGACAGCCAGTCACCCTGTGAGGCAGACCACATCATGTAGACAGCCAGTCACCCTGTGAGGCAGACCACATCATGTAGACAGCCAGTCACCCTGTGTGAGGCAGACCACATCATGTAGACAGCCAGTCACCCTGTGAGGCAGACCACATCATGTAGACAGCCAGTCACCCCCTGTGAGGCAGACCACATCATGTAGACAGCCAGTCACCCTGTGTGAGGCAGACCACATCATGTAGACAGCCAGTCCCCCTGTGTGAGGCAGACCACATCATGTAGACAGCCAGTCACCCTGTGAGAGGCAGACCACATCATGTAGACAGCCAGTCACCCTGTGTGAGGCAGACCACATCATGTAGACAGCCAGTCACCCTGTGTGAGGCAGACCACATCATGTGGACAGCCAGTCACCCTGTGTGAGGCAGACCACATCATGTAGACAGCCAGTCACCCTGTGTGAGGCAGACCACATCATGTAGACAGCCAGTCACCCTGTGTGAGGCAGACCACATCATGTAGACAGCCAGTCCCCCTGTGAGGCAGACCACATCATGTAGACAGCCAGTCACCCTGTGTGAGGCAGACCACATCATGTAGACAGCCAGTCACCCTGTGTGAGGCAGACCACATCATGTAGACAGCCAGTCCCCCTGTGAGGCAGACCACATCATGTAGACAGCCAGTCACCCTGTGTGAGGCAGACCACATCATGTAGACAGCCAGTCCCCTGTGAGGCAGACCACATCATGTAGACAGCCAGTCACCCTGTGAGGCAGACCACATCATGTAGACAGCCAGTCACCCTGTGTGAGGCAGACCACATCATGTAGACAGCCAGTCCCCCTGTGAGGCAGACCACATCATGTAGACAGCCAGTCACCCTGTGTGAGGCAGACCACATCATGTAGACAGCCAGTCACCCTGTGTGAGGCAGACCACATCATGTAGACAGCCAGTCACCCTGTGTGAGGCAGACCACATCATGTAGACAGCCAGTCACCCTGTGTGAGGCAGACCACATCATGTAGACAGCCAGTCACCCTGTGTGAGGCAGACCACATCATGTAGACAGCCAGTCACCCTGTGTGAGGCAGACCACATCATGTAGACAGCCAGTCACCCTGTGTGAGGCAGACCACATCATGTAGACAGCCAGTCACCCTGTGTGAGGCAGACCACATCATGTAGACAGCCAGTCACCCTGTGTGAGGCAGACCACATCATGTAGACAGCCAGTCCCCCTGTGTGAGGCAGACCACATCATGTAGACAGCCAGTCACCCTGTGTGAGGCAGACCACATCATGTAGACAGCCAGTCACCCTGTGTGAGGCAGACCACATCATGTAGACAGCCAGTCACCCTGTGTGAGGCAGACCACATCATGTAGACAGCCAGTCCCCCTGTGTGAGGCAGACCACATCATGTAGACAGCCAGTCACCCTGTGTGAGGCAGACCACATCATGTAGACAGCCAGTCACCCTGTGTGAGGCAGACCACATCATGTAGACAGCCAGTCACCCTGTGAGGCAGACCACATCATGTAGACAGTCAGTCTCCCTGTGTGAGGCAGACCACATCATGTAGACAGCCAGTCACCCTGTGAGGCAGACCACATCATGTAGACAGCCAGTCACCCTGTGTGAGGCAGACCACATCATGTAGACAGCCAGTCACCCTGTGAGGCAGACCACATCATGTAGACAGCCAGTCCCCCTGTGTGAGGCAGACCACATCATATAGACAGCCAGTCCCCCTGTGAGGCAGACCACATCATGTAGACAGCCAGTCACACTGTGTGAGGCAGACCACATCATGTAGACAGCCAGTCACCCTGTGAGGCAGACCACATCATGTAGACAGCCAGTCACCCTGTGAGGCAGACCACATCATGTAGACAGCCAGTCACCCTGTGAGGCAGACCACATCATGTAGACAGCCAGTCACCCTGTGTGAGGCAGACCACATCATGGAGACAGCCAGTCACCCTGTGAGGCAGACCACATCATGTAGACAGCCAGTCACCCTGTGTGAGGCAGACCACATCATGTAGACAGCCAGTCACCCTGTGAGAGGCAGACCACATCATGTAGACAGCCAGTCACCCTGTGTGAGGCAGACCACATCATGTAGACAGCCAGTCCCCCTGTGTGAGGCAGACCACATCATGTAGACAGCCAGTCACCCTGTGAGGCAGACCACATCATGTAGACAGCCAGTCACCCTGTGTGAGACAGACCACATCATGTAGACAGCCAGTCACCCTGTGTGAGGCAGACCACATCATGTAGACAGCCAGTCACCCTGTGTGAGGCAGACCACATCATGTAGACAGCCAGTCACCCTGTGTGAGGCAGACCACATCATGTAGACAGCCAGTCTCCCTGTGTGAGGCAGACCACATCATGTAGACAGCCAGTCACCCTGTGTGAGGCAGGCCACATCATGTGGACAGCCAGTCACCCTGTGAGGCAGACCACATCATGTAGACAGCCAGTCACCCTGTGTGAGGCAGACCACATCATGTAGACAGCCAGTCACCCTGTGAGGCAGACCACATCATGTAGACAGCCAGTCACCCTGTGAGGCAGACCACATCATGTAGACAGCCAGTCACCCTGTGTGAGGCAGACCACATCATGGAGACAGCCAGTCACCCTG